ACGAGGGGAGGCGGGATGGATAGGCGGTCGGCGGTCTGCGCGATGCGCGGTGCGCGATGCGGTATGCGATATGCGGTATGCGATATGCGATATGCGATATGCGATGTACGATATGCCGTGATCTGTCGCAGTAGCAGCATTGGCGCCGTGGCTACTCCCGCGCGCTAGCGGCGGGCATGGGCGCACGTCCGCCGTCGTCGTCGCAGCATTTTCCCTTCACTCTGCACCCCCGCTGCTGCTTCCTCGATGCCCACCATGCTGCTCCCCACGCTGCGTCACGCCCTGCGCCAGCCGCTCGCCAGCCCGCGCGCCGTCCAGCGCCGCTGGGCGCAGGTGCACGACGTCCGCTTCCTCGCCACGCACGACTCGCAAGAGCGCATCCTCGCCAAGTACCGCGACAAGCTCGAGCACAAGGCGCGCCAACAGGGCCTCAAGGACCTCGACGAGCTCAAGGAGCAGTACAAGGACAAGATCGAGGAGCTGCGCAAGCAGGCCATGGTGCCCGGCGCAACCGCGCCCCTGACGCCGCCGCCCGAGACTCCCTGGCCCTCACCTCCGCCGCCGCCGCCCGCTGCGCCAGGCTCTCCTACGGCCCCGCCGCCGGGCATCAAGACGCTCAACTCGTTCCTCGATCTCGCCAAAGTCCAGGCGCTCCCCAGCAAGGAAGTCCAGGCCCTGTGGCGCCTACGCCACGCTGCCAACCCGCAGAGCATCCACTTCGCTGTCCCCGCCACCACCTTCTCCCAGCTCCTTCGCAGCGCCAAACAGCACCCCTCGTTCGTCCTCCCTGTCCCCCGCGAGATACCCGCCGACGCCCCATCGGCCTCGCAGCAGCCGCCTCAGACGCAGCAAGCCGCCGAGCTGCACTATCTCCAGTTCTCCCACCCGCACGTCGATACCACCACGCTCATGTTCACGACACTGGCAGAGTTTAAGCTCAGGGGCGAGTTCGCCAGTCCCCACACCACCGTCACCTTCCACCACGAGCTCGCCGAGACCCACAACTTGGTCCTGGGCCAGGGCTTGGTCACTGAGAACAGGGGCGTATCGGTCGACGACGCCAGATGGCTCGTCATGTGCATGCAGAAGTTCTACGTGCAGACGGAAGAGGGCAAGGGCCGCAGCCAGCTTCTCGACATGTTCACCCGCGGAGACAGCGCATTCCAGGTAGAGCGACTGATAGATGAGGCCGAGAAGATATTGTGATTGTACACGCCACCCGTCTACCCCCTCAGCGGGAGCACATGCTGCACTAGACACGTCTGCCTACAAAGCGGGCATTCGGGCTTCTCCCGCGCCCAGTCCCCGATACACGTCCAACAGAAGACATGACCACACGTCGTCACACTCGGATCCTTCATCTCTTCCAGGCACAGCGTACATTTCCGATTGCCGCCGCCAATCCATCCCATTGTTTCCTCCCCCTCCAGCTCGTATCTTGCCTTGTCCAACGCTGGTGTCTGTGTCCACTTTTGCACGTCGGACGGCGCCGCTATGGGCACCGCCGACGCTGCGTCGAATAGTAGCGCGTTGTTGGCGCTGTAAGCATTGGGATCCAGAGACACTTCTGCGCCGCCACCGACAATGGCCGACGTGCCTTGCGGGTGGCCGCCACCCACTGCCGCTGTCGAAGAGGTGACAGTATTGTGCACGTGTAGGTAAGCCTGTACAGCCATCTGTAGGACTAGCAATACGCCCAGGACTTCGTAGCCTGCGCGATTGTCGCCCTCGGTCACCTGGCGCGTGAAGATGTACCGGAGCCCCCATATCCGTTTTGAGAGGTGGTAGTAGCTCCCGGAGAAGTAAAACGTTGCCAACGAGAGAGCGTACACGGGTGATGGCGATGTAATGGTGTCGAGGTTCCGGAGTAGGTAGTTTTGTACGCGCATGCCCAACGGTCGCCCTATCTGTGTCTTGCTCCCACTCTGCTGTGCCTGATGCTGTGCCCGTGCCTGTTGTCGTGCATGCCACCGCAAATTCGCCTCGAGCTTTGCGCGCACTCGCCGCCTCAAGGCCGGCAATGCCCTCCCGAGCACATATGGCCCCAAGATGCAGCCGAGTATGTATCCAGCTCTGCGGCCCAGCGCCGGCAGGCGTCCGCTTTCGCTTTCCACCTGGACAATGTCTGTGTATTCCTCGCCCAGGGTCCGGTTCCCTATCAGCGTCGTCAGACCGAGGTAAAGGACTTCTACGGCTACACGCGTCTCGGACGCATACGTGTGCGACGTGCGCGCGCCATAGAGCTTGCGCAACAGCGTCGAGAGCTGATCGAGAAGCACGCCGGAGAAGTAGGCGTCTTTCTGGTGCGAGCGAATGATGTCGGGAGAGGCGGCAAAGGGGTAGGCGTAGCGCGTAGAAGACGACATGCTTGTGTCGCGTACAAGAGTGACGGTGGCCGCTGTGTTGTGTTGTTGCATGTCGCAGCTCAGCCACGACCTCGGCTGAACCCTGGAGACATCGCGTCACGTGTCACGTCACGCGAACAATATATTTGACGTATACATCAACTTAGACTATCACTGCTAATGTTTGATACTGTGTAAGCACGGTTCGTCACGAATTTGTCATCCCCTGGCACTCGTGGTGGACATCCAAGATCTACCCTTACGTCAAGCTTTGTCCAACCATTCTCCTCTGCATCACTATGAGTTTTCATGTTCGTGTGGTTGAAATCCCTTGGCCAAAGTGATCATGGTTCACACGTCACGATCAAACACAAAGTCTGGTTGCCTGGACGTCCAAGGGAGATCTGCACCCGCAAGCCCATTCGCTACCTAGGTACCACGATAGAGGGAGAGATGCGGCGCCTTTCATATCGATACATGACGGTGATGGCGGCATCATGATGGCGACCCGCGGCTTATGATGTCATCATCTCAATGTTATTCGCGTGGTGTTGTTGTTTACGATGCGACCTCGGGATGATCTAATACATGGGTACCTAGGTAACCTCTAGTGCTATTTGCCCAGGTGGCTTCTTACATGCAACGACTTCTCGAACAATACACTGCAGACGTTAGACTTTCTATTCCACGAGCCAAGCCATGGAAAAGGGACGCGCATGGACACAACTCGAAGCTTGTTCGCCATACAACGCGCGCACTACCCTGGGTAGACTGCACAAAGGTTACAACAATGCCGGGCAGGCATACCTCGAAGCGGAAACAAATTGTGCAGGGTGCATCTTGCCTCGCAAGCGCAAGAATCGGGAGGTGAGATTCCGTGATCTCGTATCGCGTTGCATAGCGAATAACTGTTCCTTGTATTGTCAAGAAAAGAACTAATTTTCGGCTCAGAGAAACGGCTATATACAAATTGCTCCAATCAGTACCCGTAAGAGGGGTTCCAGCGGTACACCAAGATTCGATCGCATGGTTGCACAGTCCGCTGCTCGACTTGTTGTCATAGGGTATAAATCGTGAGTAGCTGCTCTTTTACCATAGGCGCACATGCACACCTAGATACTTTACATAGGTATCTGTCACCAAGAGCTGTCATCAACCAGGTGGCAGACACGCTTCTGCATGCTATTCACGTAGGCTGACTATAAATGCAGCCAAGAAGACCGCCGACGCCTCCTATACGAAAGCGCCCATGCTAGTCATTTATGTCATCAACCAGGATGTATAAACCCAGATCACATAGTGGTAGAGACTCGGGTAGAGAACGAACGTCGCAAGTTGTGCAAGGGACGACTACCAGCATATCGGTTGCGTATGGGCAAGGACCAACAAATATTGACGATAGCGTCTACGCACGAATGCGTTTGTCCTGGAAGTAAATGTATCCGTATGATCGAGGATGCCAAATGTGTTTCTGAATGATCAGAATGACGATCCTAAGTTTTCAACATTATACATCCGAGAGAATTACCACTTTGCCAGCACCCAAAGGTTTGACGACTTTTGGGGAGTGTGTGGTCCAGCTGCTGCTGGATGATAGTATCAATTCTATTAGGACATTGTGTTAGTGTATCGAACTGCTCAGAGAGCGAGAGAAGTGCCCCGAGTCGATGCCTCGAATGCGCAATAGAGTTTTCCTTTTCTCCGTCTGTTTTACAAAACAAAAGGTTTCCAGCCCTTAACAGAATTATATCAACTTGGACACTTGCCTAGTCTGCTGCATTCAGAACTTCAAAAAGACGTCTAATAGGTTATGTAATTCGCAACGTTTTTGCTTCGGTCAGAGATCTGCAAATCGACTCTCCGAGCCTAGTGCAACAGGACCCGTATAAGAGTGAAGTCTGCACAGCATCCGTGAGCGTAGGAGGAAGTAGACGATTCAAGTCGGCGTCTAACTTATACGCATATTGGCAAACCCTGCCGAATCGCCCACCACTAAGGCCGATAGTTCCGGACCTATCTACCGCAGTTACTGCGCTGGTGAACCTCGACCAGGAAGAAGCTTCTAGTCACATTGCGATCAAGCAAGAACTGGTAGCAGACGCACATTCCGCGAAGCAAAACATCGAGCCTACGAGATCAGCTGGTTAACGTGCGCGTGTTGTGCAAGGTGTGCGATCCTCTCTGTGCAAGAACCAACGACGCAACCTTGATAATTTGGATGTGAAGTCGTGGACCTTGTTCGGCAACACTACATCTTCACTCATTGAATAAATTCTCATGCAAGCCAACTTATAGATGAGGAGCACGACGCGGTATGACGATCTTATTCGCATGCAGTGTGGCAAACTTACGATGTTGATGAGTCCACCGGGACGAGCTTTGTTGTCCCACGAACCACATTATCATGCGACGACATTATCAGATCTGAAACAAGCAAGGGAGGTAAGTCAATATACGTAAGCAGATCAACACACGGGTCTGTCCGAGACGCACTCCTCTTTCAACTGGCCCTGTGGATGGAATTCGAAACGTCTGATGCAGGCACATGGATACGGTGCAGATGAGGCATTGGGACATGGCAACATGCCTGGTCTTCTGACGACCAACTAAGAGATTGAAGCCCATATCTACATTCAACCCATTCGTTACATCATGTCATCTTATTTCGACTTTCTTGTTCCTCCATCCAATCCGCTCCTTGTATTCAGTGACCAGGTCTGCAGCGCCCTCAAGATCTTCTTCAGGAAGCCAATCATGGCTGTCTTCGTATCCCTCCCACTTGACGAGGTAGTAGTTCTTCTCGTGCTCGTGAAAATGCGCCACGATGGCCTCTACAGCAAACTCTTCCGTTGCATCCGCTTCTGCATCGTCTTCGTTGTTGTGTTCGAGCGACTGTTGTCCCGGATACAATGTGCGCATAGATGTTATTCGGCTGCCGACGTATCCGTCCGATTTAAATTGCGGCGAAGCGGGTTGTGAGGGTATTATGTCGTCTTGGTCTGATGCAGCAAGCGCTGAATAATTGGAGGAAGACGCTGTCTGCAGAAGGACGTCCGCCACCCTGGAATCCAATGTAGCTGGGGAGCCAGAGTCTCGCGCGGAAAATGGAGCTGCCGTTGGAGCTTCTTGGAGCACGTTATCAGCAGACGGTGAAAAAGCGGGTATGATGGGATGAAGTTGACATGGAAGAGTGCTCTCGATCCCGGATGGGCTAGAGAACGGACGATCTTTACTGCTGCCCGCATTCCCAACCTCGATTGCGAGCGATGGTAAGTCGCCTCTTGTAGATTTTGCATCATTGTCGCTGAGCGCTAAGTAGTCCACATCTTCTGGTTCGGAAGGTTCGGAAACTTCTGAAAGTTCCCGTCGAGGGACAGAGATGGATACTCTCCTGGGTATTGGTGATACCGAAAGAGCGCTGTTGGCGACAAAAGCTGAGCGTGTGGTGTTGGGCGATGTCTGCGTGGGTTGTCCGATGTGTTCGGTTGTACGATCGAACACCATAGGTTCGCTGTCTACCAGCTGCTCGTGCATGTCGTTCTTGAGCTGTTGGGAGCTTACGACGAGGCCTCTTGTTGGCTCTACACCTCTCGCCCTTCCCCTGCATTTTCCGCGTGTGGCTCTCGGTCGACCCCGTGAATGTGGGGTCGGCTCTACAGAGAAGGCGAGCGCGCTGAGCATGCGGCTCCCTTTGCTGGCGTTTGGCCCTTTGGCATTCTTTCGCAGTTGGCGACGCGCCAGGTCTTCGGCCTCGGTGCGCATAGCAATGGCCTCTGCCTCTGCCTCGAGCCTGAACTGCTCAGTTTCATATCGTTCCAGTTCAGCTGGAGAAACGAACTGCAGTATGCGTTGCAGGTCCACATCCTCAAGCTGTGTAAGGGCAATACCGTCCCGTGCACTCCCCGGTCCGCCCGTATATGTGACCTCTACGGTGTATAGCTCCCGCTTGAAGCGGTCCTCGGTCTGTCGGCGATGGAGTATTCGCGTTCGTGCGTTCGACATAGGGCAGACGTTAGGTAGTCGTGCGGTGACAGTGGCAGGCTCCTTGCGAATGCGCCATAACTGGTCGTACACCTCGGCGCCAGGCGTGTATGCTTCCCACTCCCACTGCGCATATCTTAGTAGTGTTTGGTTGTGGCGATTGTCTCACGATTGTCTCGCGATTTGGCGGTAGCATACTATTCGCGTCTTGCCTCTGCCTCGTCCTCTGCCACCTCTAGCGCTGCGACCGCCTCTGCGCCCCCTGCCCGACATGCCTATTCTGTAGATGAGTCTGAGGCGATGCACCGAAGGCCCGATTCCCCGCAAAGGCAGTAATTGAAGCCACAGGTGTCCGCGTCCGTCATGATGAGAGTTGGGCGGTTGGCATGTGGCGCGATTGAGCGGATCCGTGCTCAGGTGGCTCCTGGATTCTCCCGGGCTTATGTCAGCCACCAAGCTATACCGATTTCGGGTTTCGTACCATCTGGGAACCACACGCGCAGCTCTGATCGTTGGGCTCACACAGCGGAAACTCTACTGAACCGTTCAAATAGCTCGAATCAGTTTACCTAGAATGCTGAGCAATGATTTTGGCATCAGCCACATCGGCCGTACCTAGGTAACTCAAGACTTCGGGAGTGAAGCTTACCTAGGTAGGTACCTACATAGGTAGGTAGCGTTCACTAGAGACGGAACCATCGAATAATCTTACTGCAAATGAACTAGCGTTACTTTAGCGTACATCCGTCAGCAACCCACAGCAAGCACTAAGTGTCAGGGCCTCAGGAAATATAAGCAGTGAAAATGTCCAGTAGGTAATCAATCATACCTAGGTAGCGCCCAACATGTCTCATTCCACACTTGGATGTCAGATCGCCCCACGATATCATCACGAATACGATTCCAACTCATCTAGCGAGTCCGAGCTGGGAATACAAGCTTCCGCCGCCGCCAGCTCTACTCCTCTGGAGCAGCAGACCACGGGTGTCAAGACCGAGAGGGTGCATGGCACCACCGCCGCTACCAATAGACTAACAACGCTGCAGCGTGGCCGCACAAAGAGTAGCCGCAGGATCGTGCAAGAACAGGCGCCTGTCGGGTTCTTTCACTCGTCCATGGCCGGTGTCAGGCTACACGTGATCAGGCTCTGGCTTCGTACAAATCTCATTCTCGCCATTGCCATCATGGCCTTTCTTTGCCTTTTCTGGGGTGCACTGTTTCGTCAAAATGCAAACGTGGGGGGTCTGAACATCTCCATTGTAGACTTCGATGGCCAGCCACCGTTTACCGGGGTCGCACCCTTCGTGGGTCCGTTTGTCACTCGCACTGTTCGCAGCATCATGGAGGAAGATGGCGTGGTGCCTGGCTACACCTTTGCGTCTCCCGAAGACTTCAACAACGACTCGCTGAACGTACGCAACAAAGTTTACGACTTCCATGCCTGGGCGGCCGTCATCATCAATTCCAACGCCACAGCAATGCTCGATGCCGCAGTGAAACTGGGGAACGCGAGCTACGATCCCTTGGGTGCCTGCCAGATTATCTATAATTCGGCGCGCGATCAAATTACCACCTCGACTTACATTGTACCCAGTATTAACACCCTCCAGAAGCGCGTAGTCACCGAATTTGGCCGCGCGTGGATCGCACATCTTCTCCAGAACAACGTTTCAGTTACGGACATGCGCCTAGACATTGTACCTCAAGCTCTCTCTCCCGGCATTGAGTTCACCGTCAACGACTTGCGCCCCTTTGGACCGCCTATCGCTACACCCGCGGTTAGCATTGGCCTTATATACCTGAGTGAGCAATGTTCCTGTACGAACCGCATGTGACATATACTAATATCTTACACCGCTATTTAGTCATCATCTCCTTCTTTAGCTTTACGCTCTTCCTACCTATCCATCTGAAGTACCTCTCGCCCAAAGGTCATCCACCGCTGCACTTCTATCAGCTTATCGTGTGGCGCTACATCGCGACGGTCGCATCTTACTTCTTTCTCTCTCTCGTCTACTCCTTTGTCCTACTGCCTCCCACAATCAGCATGCCGGTAACCCTAACGCGTATGGCAGAGGTACCTTCTTGGTATACTGGATGGGAAATTGGGTTGGAATGATTGCTTTTGGCCTTGCGAGCAAGAATATGGCCATGCTGCTGGGCTCCCCTTGGACGGCGTTGTGGCTCATTATCTGGGTTATCAGCAATGTCGCCACTGGGTTTTATGCCCTCGAGCTTGCACCGAGCTTTTATCGCTGGGGCTATGGTTGGCCGATGCACAATATCGTCGAGCTCACACGGTCAATCCTGTTCGATCTGCATCCACGAGTTGGCTTGAACTTTGGAATCTTATTTGCCTGGGCTGTGGTAGACTCAATCTTCTTTCCGCTTTGCTGTCATTGTTGAAGTGGAACACTGCGCGGGTTCGCAAAAATGCAGCCAAGGCCGAGGCGGATTGGCATGCCAAGATGGACAAAGAGAGAGAAGACCCCGGCCTATTAGCAAGGGTCACTACGCTCAAGGATAAACAGGAAGGATAGTGCAAGAACGTCGCAAGTCATGATCTTCCCATAGATCGCACGGAACATGTTCCCTTGTACCCCCCCAATCCTAGTCATCCTGAACACATCGCGGCAACGCACGAAAGGTAGGCCAAGGAAAGCTCGATGCAAGCTACCTCTAGACTTTTGCCTTCCAGTCCCAGCCTACCAGCGACACCCTAGTAGCAAGTAAAAGAAACCCTCCTACAAAGAAAGACAGACCCGCCCAAACATTCGCATACGTGTAGTTGCCATTGTGGCTCTGGATGATCGCTCCAGCTAGTGGCGGACCTGTAAAACTCGATATACTCACCACGGTGAAGGCCATGCCCATCCTCACCCCAGACTTCTTCAGATCTCTCTCCTGACTCATACTTCCGATCACCGCAGGCCAAAGCGCCTGGATAACGGCGCTCCCGCTTCCATATATGACAGCAAATACGTACAGGGTGACGATGGAGTTGATTCTAATCCATACGAACATCATGATACCACAGACAAACGCGAACGGTATAAGAACGTTAAGCCCACCGATCTTGTCGGCATAGTAGGTCGGCAGTAGGCGAAAGATAAACCCCATGCATACTTGCACGAGAAGCAGATTGATACTTTGCTGGTAACTGGCACCAAGAACATTTCGCGCATAACTTCCAATGTAGAAGAAAGCGAAATACAACCCCCAGAAACTGAAAAAGGCACCAGCACAGTACAGAGCATATGGCAGTTCCGTGAAGCTCGCCCAGTCGACCAATGGACCGCTTTTCCTGGGAGGGAGCCGGGTACGGTACAAGCCGATGGTGATGGCATTCATGAGCAACATGATAAAGCCGATGATGCGTATTGTCCATGGAAAGCCTAAGCTGGGTAGACATTGCTGCACGATAACCGGGAAAATGACGCCCCCAGTGCAGGACCCCAGCGCTGTGAAGCCCAGCGCAAAAGCACGACGCTTGACAAAGTAAGTGGAGACAAGGGCCATGGACGGACAGAATTGCAACCCATTTGCAATTCCCAGACATACGCCCTGAGAGAGAAAGACATGCCAAACACTTTTGCTCTCCGCCAAGGTAAAGATACCGAGTAGCTGAAAGCACGCACCAGCGATGTAGACCGGGCGAAAAAGTCCAGCGTCCGTAGCACGGCCTGTAAAAGTGCCAAGGAAGAAGAGAAGGAATACCTGAAGCGATCCAATCCAGGAAATGGTCGAGGAAGCTATGCCGAGTGTGTTTTCGTAGTAGGTCTGATACACGCCGAATGACGTGAAGAAGCCAAAGGTGGTCAGGATAGTTAGGTGCGTGCATAGGACTTGGGTCCAAGCTGTGAGGCCACCATCGGGAGCGGGGCCTGGGTCGAATGAAGCTGCCGATCGACGCGAAAGTACGCGGGCGAGAGCAGGCTGGCTTGGCTTGTCGTGTGTGTGCTGTGCATCTTGATGGCGAGCTTCAGCATTCAGGGTGGCTTCTTGTATCCCAATGTCGCGCGCGCCAGGCCATGTCTGAAGGTTGCGACCCATGACAGTGTTCAAGTCTGCAACCTCCTTCGCGTCGACGCGTTGACTGGCCATTTGTGCAGGGTAATCGCGATAAAGACTAACTACGGGCGAAGAAAGACGTTCAATACCGTGGGGGATGCTGGTGAAGAGAAATCTAGGACGTGCAGAACGAGTTGGTTTTCGTAAGCCTGTTAACCTTTAGCGTCTCCAGAAATAAGACAGTTGCATAGTATTACCTAATGCACGTAAGCGCGTAGATAAGGTACGTAAGATAGGTCTATCTAATATATAGTAGTAAAGTATAGTTCTAAGATATTTAATAAAGAATTAAAGCCTTTTAATAAATCTAAAAGTAAACTTTTTTAAATAAATATATTATAAATATATCTTAGTACCTTATACCTAATTTTATAGACTCTATTTAGTAAAAAGATATTAAAAAACGCCTAGCTTTATTCTAGAACTACTAGAAGATTTTAAGATTTTAATATATTTAGTGTATATTACTATTAGTACTAAGGCTTCTAACTAATAATATATTACTTTTAAAGCCTTACTAAGAGAGAAAACTTTTTAATATCTTACTATATTTAATCTTTAGCTATTAATATAATATAACTTAAGATACTAAGTAGCTAATAAAGATAACTACTTTATTATAGCTTAGTTCTTAAAAGTAACTATAATAGTAGAACACTAATATAGCTACTATCTATTTAATAGTATTATTACACTAGAGATAGACTTTAAATACTTTATTCTCTTTAGTTTATTTATTATTACTCTAGCTAAGAATTCTAATAAACGCTTTACGCTAGTATATAATAGCTATCTTTATCTCTATAGATAGAGCTATCTATAGTCTAATCTTATATATAAAGTTATAGGTATAGATAGTATAGATAATTAATAGATTACTCTAGATAGAAAGAGTAACACTAGTAATATAATAACTATTCTATTACTCTTTTTAGAGTAGATATAGCTTATAAAAGAACTTTTATATATTACTAGTAAGTTACTTAAAGACTTAGCTATAATAAAAAACTATAAAAGGTTTTAGTCTACTTATTATAAGCTTTTATAGTAGTAGTATAATAATCTTAATAGTATTAATAGTATTAATAGTGTTAGTAGTCTTAGAATATAATATAAAATAGGTAAGATAGGCTTTAAAAGCTTTAATAATAGCCTCTATAATAGCTTTAATAATAGTCTATATAATAATCTCTAGAATAGTTTAACTAAGAGCTTTCTTTTTAGTAATAGTCTTAGAGTAGTCTATAGAAGCTTTAATAAGTAGTAATATAATATAGTATAAGAATATAATTAATATAGATATAGAAAGAGATAATATAACTAGTAATAAGATTAGCTTTAGATAAACTTACTAATACTAGAAAAACTTATAAAAAAGATATAAAGTATTAGAGATATAGTTAGAGCTTATTT